GGCCTGCCTACAATCCGTCCTGGATTTAGCCAGGCTGGATTGTTTGAGGAGCTCACAAATCCTTGAAAGATCTGGGCAAAGTCCCATCAGTGAGCTCCTCCGGCAGGCAAGGCTGCGTTGGCTGGGTCATGTAGCCCGCATGCCTGGCCACCGCATGCCTAAACAGCTTTTGTTCGGCCGGATCGAGGGGACTAGACGGGCGCGGCACGGGCTGGAGAAGAGATGGAGTGATGTGGTACAGGAGGACGTAGAGCTGAGTGGACTTGCCGAGTGACTGGTACCAGCGGTGTCAAGATCAGCCTCAGTGGAGGAGGCTCGTGAAGGACGCTACTGGGCAGTTGGAGGCAGTCGCCCTCCAACAACAACGGAGGGCGGAGGAGCGACGCTCACAACAACGAGCGGAGCGCCGGGTGGCTAAAGCACAGCAAGTTGGCACAGTAGGGGGCACAGGTGGTGCATCAGCCAGTTATCTCGGTCATCTCGGTCAGTCGACCCGTGGCACCTGGGTCTGCCCCGTGACCTCCTGCCAGCGGGCTTTCGACACTTCACGTGGCCTCAAGGTGCACTTGGCCTGGCACAAGCATCGTGGTGACGTCACCGCCACTTAGTGGCGAATGGCGGTTGTTGTTGTTGTTGTATCTGTGTGTGTCTCTGTGTGTGTATCTGTGTGTGTCTCTGTGTGTATAACTGCTGCGTGTGTGTGTCTCTGTGTGTATAACTGCTGCGTGTGTATGTTTCCGTCTCTCTCTCTGTGTGTGGTAGCGTCCCTGCCGGCGCTCACCACCCTCCAGGTGTCCCACAACCACCTGGAGTCGCTGGACTCCATCAGGGCCCTGGCCTCGTGCCCCCGCCTCAGTGTCCTCGACCTCTCGCACAACCTCATCCGCGACCCGCAGCTCGTCGACATCCTCGCAGCCATGCCCAGCCTGGTGAGACACGGACAGAGAAGCGGGGACACGCGGGGACACGGAGACGTGGGAACGCATGGGGACACGGGGACACAGAGACACAGGGACGTGGGGACACACAGAGACACACGGAGGCACAGCGACACGGGGATAAAGAAACGCTGGGACACAGAGACACGGGGGCTCGACAAAGACACAGAGACACAGGGACACGGAGACGTCGGGACACATGGGGACACGGGAACACAGAGACCCAGGGACACATGGACACACAGAGACACACGGAAGCACAGAGACACGGGGATAAAGAAACGCTGGGACACAGAGACACGGGGGCTCGACACAGATACAGAGACCCAGGGACACAGAGACGTGGGGACACAGACACATGGGGACACGCGAACACAGAGACACAGGGACACAGAGACGTGGGGACACATGGGGACACGGGGACACTGGGACACGGGGAAACACGAAGACACAGCAACGTGGGGATAAAGAAACGCTGAGACACAGAGACAGGGGGGCTCGACAAAGACACAGAGACACTGGGACACAGAGACACTGGGACACAGAGACACGGGGATAAAGAAACGCTGAGACACAGAGACACGGGGGCTCGACAAAGACACAGAGACACAGGGACGCAGAGACACTGGGACACAGAGACACGGGGATAAAGAAACGCTGGGACACAGAGACAGGGGGGCTCGACAAAGACACAGAGACACTGGGACACAGAGACACTGGGACACAGAGACACTGGGACACAGCGACACGGGGATAAAGAAACGCTGGGACACAGAGACACGGGGGCTCGACATTGACACAGAGACACAGGGACGCAGAGACGTGGGGACACATGAAGACACAGAAACGTGGGGACACAGGGACACACGGGTTCACACAGAGACACAGAGACGTGGGGATGAAGAAATGCTGGGACACAGAGACACGGGGGCTCGACACAGACACAGAGACACAGGGACGCAGAGACGTGGGGACACATGGGGACACTGGGACACACAAGAGACGCAGGGACACATGGACACACAGAGACACACGGAGACACAGAGACACGGGGATAAAGAAATGCTGGGACACAGAGACACGGGGGCTCGACACAGACACAGAGACACAGGGACACAGAGACACGGGGACATACGGGGACAGGGGAACTTGGAGATACGGGGAAGCAGACACTAGGACATTGAGACACAGAGACACGGGGGCAAATCATAGAGACACGGGGATACCATGACACGGAGATATGGGGAGGCAGACACTGGGACACGGACACACAGAGACACAGGGACAAGTCACGGGGACACGGGGACGTGGAGATACGGGGACACAGACACTGGGACACGGAGACACAGAGACACGGGGGCAAATCATAGAGACACGGGGATACCATGACACGGAGATATGGGGAGGCAGACACTGGGACACGGACACGCAGAGACACGGGGACAAGTCACGGGGACACGGGGACGTGGAGATACGGGGACACAGACACTGGGACACGGACACACGGAGACACGGGGACAAAATGGGCAACAGAGATGCGGTGGGCACAGGACATGGAGATGCGTGGACACGGAGACGTGGGCGCATGGGGGGTGGACATTGGAATGTGGTAGCTCACGGCCTTGTGCTATCGCCTGTGCTTGCCCGCGGTTACCCCCCGTGGTTACCCCCCGCGGTTACCCCCCGTGGTTACCCCCCGCGGTTACCCCGCGGTTACCCCGTGGTTACCCCCCGCGGTTACCCCGTGGTTACCCCGCGGTTACCCCGCGGTTACCCCCCGCGGTTACCCCGTGGTTACCCCGTGGTTACCCCCCGCGGTTACCCCCCGCGGTTACCCCCCGCGGTTACCCCCTGCGGTTACCCCGTGGTTACCCCGTGATTACCCCCCGCGGTTACCCCGTGGTTACCCCCCGCGGTTACCCCGTGGTTACCCCGCGGTTACCCCGCGGTTACCCCCCGTGGTTACCCCGCGTGGTTACCCCGTGGTTACCCCCCGTGGTTACCCCGTGGTTACCCCCCGTGGTTACCCCCCGTGGTTACCCCCCACGGTTACCCCCCGCGGTTACCCCATGGTTACCCCCCGCGGTTACCCCCCGTGGTTACCCCCCCGCGGTTACCCCGTGGTTACCCCCCATGGTTACCCCCCATGGTTACCCCCCATGGTTACCCCGCGTGGTTGTGCCCGCAGCGCGTGCTGACCCTGACGGGGAACGCGGTGGTGCGGGACATCCCCGACTACCGCCGCACGCTGACCGTGCGCCTGCCCCACCTCACCTTCCTGGACGACCGCCCCGTGTTCCCCAAGGACAGGTGAGGCCCGTGACGTCCGCCACACGCGCAGGATCAACACAACAACAACAACAGCAACAACAACAGCAGCCAACAACGATCCATACTCCATTGGAACCTCATTTGCCAGTAAAAAATATGATAATTGTTTTTTTACCCTTTTATCTGGCAACAAAACTGACACCTTTTTTACAAGGAGTCATGTTTGCATAGACCACAATACCTGCAGCCGTAATGCAAACAAAAAACATTACTCTGATAATGTATGCACTGTCCTTGAAGTTGATTGGTCCACACCCGAGACAGCTTTCCTTAGAGCCTAGGATCACATGGGTTGGACCAGATGACGCCAAAAGGCGCACAACTCAAAGACAATGCACCATCAGAGTATGAGAGCTCGGGGTAAGCATTTACACCATTGGAACCTCATTTGTCAGTAAAAATATGATAATTGGTTTGTTACCCTTCTATCTGGCAACAAAACTGACACCTTTTTTACAAGGAGTCATGTTTACATAGACCACAATACCTGCGGTCATAATGCAAACAAAAAACATAACTCTGATAATGTATGCACTGTCCTTGAAGTTGATTGGTCCACACCCGAGACAGCTTTCCTTAGAGCCTAGTCTCACATGGTGTTGGACCAGATGACGCCAAAAGGTATTGTGGTCTATGCAAACATGACTCCTTGTAAAAAAGGTGTCAGTTTTGTTGCCAGATAGAAGGGTAACAAACCAATTATCAACGATCCATACTCTTTGTTTTTTTTTTTCGGTGAAGTCACGTCGGTAAAAAAATCTAATCAAATAAGTGAAAACAACTAACTTCTTGGTTCTTTCGGTAAAGTCACGTAGAAGGGAAGTAATAAAATAATAAAAATAAAACATAATAAAATACAATTCTCACGACGTTTCGGCCACAACGCAAGCAGCCGTCCTCAGGTGAAGAACAGGTCTGTCGGAAAGACAGCGTCTGAATGGACAGACCTGTTCTCCACCTGAGGACGGCTGCTTGCGTTGTGGCCGAAACGTCGTGAGAATTATTGTATTATGTTTATTTTTAATATTTTATTATTTCCCTTCTACGTGACTTTACCGAAAGAACCAAGAAGATGAATCCCTGCAGTCACGAAAGCTTTAAATTGAAAAATGAAAACAACTAAATTAAATCACGACGTTTTGGGCGCAACACAAGTTTCAAGTTCAATTTTAGTTTAAAGTTTCATGTATTATGTATAGCCCTGTGAGCCATTCGGCTCTTGAATCGGGTGCAACCGCAACAAACAAAAAAACAAAAACATGAACAAGAAAACATCTTAAAGTGACTATGTGACTAAGTGCAAACAGAAAATCCAAGAAAAGACAGCAAAATATTGCAGAACAAGCACCGTACACCAACGCTGTGTGCAAACATCCCAGTGGGATGCAAGTCAAACAACAACAACAACCACAAGCGTCCTTCTTCAGGTGAGGACGACGCAGCGAAAGCACAACCTCTTCAGGGTGTCTAAGAGATTTTCTTAGGTTTTTTCGGTAAAGTCACGTAGGTAAAAAATTAAAATTAATAAAATAAAATTATTTTTAACTTTTTTAATTTTTTACCTACGTGACTTTACCGAAAAAACCTAAGAATATGAATCCTTGCAGTCACGAAAGCTTCAAATCTAGAATGTCTAAGAGATGGTTGTGACGAGGAGTTACATAGTCACGGGGGATGGAGGGAGGGGGGGGGTCATGGTGAGTGTGTGGGCTGTGGACTGGGAGGCAACGATGTGAGGAACAGGGAGGGCGCTGTGAGGCAACGCATGGAGTTCAAACTGAAGCTTTGTGATGCAGGGGGCGTAAGTAGATAAGGAAGCTAAGATTAAGCAGCCTTTTGTTATGCTGCCGGGTGGGGCAAATTAGAAATGTGCAAGATGAACGCTGACGTGTGGTCATGGTGACTTCACTGAAAAAAACACAAAGAGTATGAATCCTTGCAGTCACGAAAGCCTCAAATCTAGAGCCAACAACGACTCATCCGTGACGCCTCCTGGAAAGAGAAAACTCCTTTTGGACGGAGCCAGACTTAACACCCTTCCCCTCGAGGCTTAAAACACAAGCAGTGAAACGTCGTGAAAACCACTCTGAGGCATCTCCTTTACCAGTGGCAAAATATAGTAGTAGGTTTTTACCCTTTCAACTGGTACAAAAACTGACACCTTTATACAATATTCTTAGGTTTTTTCGGTAAAGTCACGTAGGTGAAAAATTAAAATTAAAATTAATAAAAGTAAAATAAAAATCAAGGCATCATGTTTGCAATAACCACAACACAAGCAGTCAAAATGCAAACACAAAGAAACAACTCTGATGATGATAATGACATGCACTGTCCTTGAAGTTGATTGGTCCACACCCGAGACAAGTGTGTGAGTGAGTGGGTGTGTGAGTGAGTGGGTAAGTGTGTGAGTAAGCGAGTGTGTGAGTAAGCGAGTGGGTGAGTGTGTGAGTGAGTGAGTGGGTGAGTGGGTAAGTGTGTGGGTAGGTGAGTGGGTGAGTGTGTGGGTGGGTGGGTGAGTGAGTGAGTGAGTGGGTGAGTGAGTGAGTGAGTGATTGGGTGGGTGAGTGAGTGAGTGTGTGAATGAGTGGGTGGGTGAGTGAGTGGGTGGGTGAGTGGGTGAGTGAGTGGGTGGGTGGGTGAGTGAGTGGGTGAGTGAGTGGGTGGGTGAGTGGGCGAGTGAGCGGCACGGGCTGGAGCAGAGACAGAGCTGATGCGGCACAGGAGGGACGTGGAGCTGGCTGGACTTGCCGATGCCCGCCACCAGTGGTGTCACCCCCCTCGTTCCAGCCTTCACGAGCGCCGCTTCTCGCCGTGACAGCAACGGTTCGTCAAGGCCACGCAGGGAGCCTTCGTCTTCGTTATTGAACGGTGCCCATCACCCCCCCCCCGCCCCGTCTCAGGGCGTGTGCCGAGGCCTGGGCACGGGGGGGGCCGGGCGGCGGAGCGTGCGGAGCGCGCCGCGTGGGAGACGCGGGAGCGCCGGCGCCTGCAGGAGGCCACCGCGGCGCTGGGGCAGCGGCGCTCGGGGCGGAGAGTCCGGGCCGACGGTGACAGCTCCTCCACCACAGGTGGCGAACCTCGCTTCAACAACAACAACACCAACACCATCACCACCACCACCATCACCACCGCCACCACCACCACCGCCACCACCGCCACCACCATCACCACCACCACCACACTCTCAGCTTCAACAACAACAACACCAACACCACCACCGCCACCACCACCACCACCACACTCCCGGCTTCCACAACACGCAGCTCACCAGCGAGCCCAGCACGGTCTGTGCCGGTCGGCGTGGGTGGTGAGGGTGGTGAGGGTGGTGAGGCTGACGTCACTGCCCTCCCTTCACCCTCCAGGGGCCAGTGGCAAGCAGACCGGCGGTGGCGGCGCCTGCGGTGGGGGCGGTGATGAGGGCGGTGAAGGCGGTGAGGGCGGTGAGGGTGGTGAGGGTGGTGAGGGTGGTGAGGGCGGTGAGGGTCATGAGGGTGTTGATGGTGGTGAGGGTGGTGAGGGTGTTGATGGTGGTGAGGGTGGTGAGGGTGTTGATGGTGGTGAGGGCGGTGAGGGTGGTGAGAGCGGTGAGGGCGGTGAGGGTGGTGAGAGCGGTGAGGGTGGTGAGGGTGGTGAGGTTGGTGAGCCACAGTTGGACCGCCGTCCCGATGGGACTGGGCCGGGAGGTGCGGTGAGGCCGGGCGGCAGCAGCAGCAGCAGTAGCGGCAGGAGCAGCAGCCGCGTGCAGGAGGTGGAGGAGGTGGCAGCGCGGGACGACACCAGCAGAAACATCAGCCTTGACGTGAGTGAGAAGAGTGTGAGTGAGGTAGTGAGGTGAGAGTGATGAGTGTGAGGTGAGTGAGGTGAGTGAGGTGAGATGAGTGAGGTGAGTGAGGTGAGAGAAGCACCGTGGTGACGTCACCACCACTTAGTGGTGAAAGGCGCTTGTTGTTGTTGTTGTTTGTGCCCAAAGGAGTAGTGTAGTTACTAGCGCTACACTGCGCTACGAACCCGGTGGCCCGAGTTCGATTCCCGCTCACGGCCAACACCGGTGAGGATTTTCTGAACCGGTCTTGAGCCTCCCCTAGGTCGACTCAGCCTCAATTTACGCGGTGTGTAAATATCGCCACTGGCGGTGACCGGGCGTGGTGCTAGCCACCCACCCCCTCGTGTGCCGTGGCGGCCTTCGTAGGTGCTACTCGCCAACAGCACTTGCCCCTGCAGTCTGTTAAAGGCTACACGGGGGATCTTTGCCCTTTGTTGTGCGCACAGGACTTGCCCGACCTGGAGGAGGCGCCGGTCTGTGGTGAGGAACTGTGGGACCCGGCCTCTCAGCACCCCGGGGTGAGCCACGACCGCTCACTCCTTCACTTTTCAGCTCCCACAATCTCAGCCTCGTTGTGTGTGTGTATGTACGTCAGAGGTCGCAACCGGGTACCCGATACCCGTACCCTACCCGATACCCGGCTACCCGTACCCGGCCGGGTACAGGTACGGGTACCTGTTTGCGACCCTGGTGCGGCCGGGTACGGGTAGGCCGTGAGTCACTGGTGAGTCACCGTTTGTCACTCATTTCCCAACGTCTTGTCTCTTCTCACAATTCAAGTTCCGAGAATCAACCCACCCGCGCCTGCAACATGGCTTCATCCCAGAGGTCGCAATCAGGTACCCGATACCCGTACCCTACCCGTACCCGGCCGGGTACGGGCCGGGTACGGGTACGGCCGGGTACGGGTACGGCCGGGTACCCGTTTGCGACCCTGGTGCGGCCGGGTACGGGTAAGGAATCAAAACCCGTTTGCGACCTCTGTCCCTGGGACAACAGCGGTGCTCCTAGAGCAAGCACGCCGGTGGTCGTAGATTCGAGAGAGATCCTGGGAAACATCGTGCCTTGCAATCCTCTTCCAGATCGTGAGGCTGGCGTCACATCCAGTCAGCCAGCTCTCTCTGGCAAAGTCCAAAGCAGAATTATACAGCGAGGGAAAAAAGTATTTGATCCCCTGCTGATTTTGTACGTTTGCCCACTGACGAAGAAATGATCAGTCTATAATTTTAATGGTAGGTCTTTTATACAGACTGAGATTAGGAGCACACTCTTTAAGAGTGTGCTCCTAATCTTTCTGATTGAGAGGGGGTCAAATACTTATTTAAAAATGGAAATCAATTTATAACATTTTTGACATACGTTTTTCTGGATTTTGTTGTTGTTATTCTGTCTCTCACTGTTCAAATAAACCTACCATTAAAATTATAGACTGATCATTTCTTTGTCAGTGGGCAAACGTACAAAATGAGCAGGGGATCAAATACTTTTTTCCCTCACTCTACGTATCTCTGTGTATCTCTGTCCGTTCGCCAATGGTGAAGGCCACACAGGGGGTCTTGGTCTTCGTGTTCCGTTTAAGATTGATTTATGAAGGGTTCAACTTCTCCCGTTTGCCAAGAAAACACGTAACCCGGTACGCTCCGCTTTGTGCCGAGGGTGATTTTTAAATCCTTTATATTAAGTTCACTTGCGTGCTTGCTTGCGCGCTTACGGCCGTGCAAATATTTCGGCCGTTTTTAACCCACTTCCCGTGATCCAATTGAGCTAAAATTTTGCACACAGACTCGTTGTGCGTGACAATTAATTTTCGCGAAAACTTTTTTCCAAAATTTTTCACTTTTTAGGAGAAAAATTATTTTTAATTACCAATTGCTTAATGGTGGCAGGCAATCATCTGACCCATAGGTGGCAGCCATCTCAAGCCAGAGGACGAGAGGACTCTGGCCGCCACGCATGTAAAGGATTTATAGTGAAAAACTTTGTTTTTACGGGTTAATTTTTTACCACTTAACCTCTGCTTGCCGCTGCCTTCTCACAGGAGGTGCTGTTCCCCTGGCAAAGCCCAGCAGCCATCGGGGCCGGCAGGGCCCCTGGGGTCGCTGGGGAGCGTGGCGCGTCGTGCCGGGGCGTGGTGAAGCGGCCGCTCATCGAGGAGATCTCGTCCATGCCTGCCCAGGGCCTGCTCGCCTCCCTTGGGCCGTCGTAAACCAGACGACACTGAGGGCCGTTCAATTTCGATTTAAAGCTTTCGTGACTGCAGGGATTCATCTTCTTGGTTGAAGACAGAGTCTTCAGACGCTGTCTTCTCGACAGACCTGTTCTTCAGCTGTTGTGGCCGAAACGTCGTGAGAATTATTTTATAATGTTTTATTTTTATTCTTTTATTATTTCCATTCTACCTGACTTTACCGAAAGAACCAAGAAAACTGAGGGCCGTGTTAGACCGGCTCACCGTGTTAGACCGGCTCACCGTGTTAGACCGGCTCACCGTGTTAGACCGGCTCACCGTGTTAGACCGGCTCACCGTGTTAGACCGGCTCACCGTGTTAGACCGGCTCACCGTGTTAGACCGGCTCACACTGAGAGTCGTGTTAGACCGGCTCACCGTGTTAGATCGGCTCACTCTGAGAAAGCCGTGAGCCAGTTTAACGTGAGACCTATGATGTACGTGTTTTATGGGTTTAAATTATAAATTAAACTGTGACACCAGTTTAAACTGAGTTGTGATCAACCAGTATTACATGAAGCTGATATCCGTCGGTGTGAGCCCAGTGTGGAGTTTGTGTGTGTGTATGGAACGAGACCTGGGCCTCAGGGACTGATGCTCAGGATGGATTCGTCGTCTGCAGCAGCAGCAGCAACAGTCTGTGAGCCATGAATATCAACATTAAACAGGGAGAAGGAACCCATGTTTCGTTTTGTCTCTCTCTGTGTGTCTGTGTGTCTGTGTTGTGTGTCTCTCTCTCTGTGTGTCTGTGTGTCTATGTTGTGTGTCTCTCTCTGTGTGTCTATGTTGTGTGTCTCTCTCTGTGTGTGTCTCTGTGTTATCTCTCTCTGCTTGTGTGTCTGTCTGTGTGTCTCCGTGTCTGTGTTCTGTCTTTCTCTCAAATTTAGCAATCTTTGTAGGAACATTAATCAACCAGGTGAGGTGTTATTGACTGTTATGTTAGCCGACTCTGTGTGTTGTATTGCGTTATATTTATAACTTTACTAGGTTTGCACCATTGGAACCTCATTTGCCAGTAGCAAAATATGATAATTGTTTTTTTACCCTTTTATCTGGCAACAAAACTGACACCTTTTTTATAATATATATTTTTAATAATATTATTTACTAGGTTTGTTTTCTATTTCATTTGTACCTGATGATTGCTGGTGTTGCAATCGAAACGTCGTGTGCTATTATTTAATTCATTATGTTATCTTTCTACGTAACTCTACCGAAAGAACCGACGAGTAATGTGTGCATCATAAAACAATGTTCGTTTCACGTATTCTACCACGAGCATGATGTGTGGTCCCTGCAGGCTTGATAATAGAATGCAACCTACAACATTACACGTACACATTCGGCCCTTTTTCGGGTACAAAACTCGCAACACACATTATTGGCTGCCCACAGTAAACCACCCTGTGTAGGCATGCAGTTGTGCTGGGTAGACATTGACGGACAACTTGTTGCGAGGCAACGCGATGTTTATTTGGCTCTTGTACGGTGTCCCTAACACAACGGGGTAGAGCGGCCCCTTTACCCGCTACCTGGCGAGGTAACGGGCCCGAGCACTGGTGAACCCGTTAACAAACTCCTTGGGTAAAGTCCACGTGGGTATAAAATATCAAATAAATCACGACGTTTCGGGCGCAACACAAGCAGTCCGTCATCAGCTGGGACAACCACAGCAAGAAACCAGAATCAGAAAGGGTTTCATTGGCCATGAAAGTTTGCACAGACAAGGAATTTACTATGGCAGGAAGGTGCATACATTCAACATGTACGAATCTTAAAACGTAAATAAGTGGTATACAGTCTAACTATACTAAAATTACAATAGTCTAACTAATACTCAGGGGGTAAAGTATGTCAAATTTTGAATAAGTATACAATATAAAATGTAAACTAGCCATAATATACAATCCTAAAATACAAAAATACAAATAGGGTAACGTTGTTGTAAATATGGCAAGGTGTAATTTTGTAGATAAAATGTTAAAGTGTAAAAGTCATTTTAAGCCCTTGTCCTTGCTGAAGTGGGCAAAAGGGGGCTGCTTTAACAAGAAGCTCCTCCCCGCCTCTCTTACCTAGATGGCCACTTGTTATTTATCTACCCACGTGGATTTTACCGAAAGCACCAAAGAGTACGGATCCCTGCAGTCACGAGAACTTTGACTCGAGATTGAACCCCGTTTACCTTCCGCCCTCCGCCTGGGCGCTTGGGGAGGAGGCTACGCTGAGCCGACCGTGCCGGGGGCTTCGGGTCCTGACCACCGGCCTCACTTAGCTCCGGCCCTTCAAGTTCAAGTTCATATATTAGGTATATAGCCCTGTGAGCCATTCGGCTCTTGAATCGGGTGCAACCGCAACAAACAAAAACATGAACAAAAAACATCTTAACGTGAATATGTGACTGAGTGCAAACAGAAATACAAGAAAAGACAGCAAAACATTGCATAAAAAAAATCACCGTACACCAACGCTGTGTGCAAAAATCCCAGTGGGATGCACGCAGAGGTGGGACAAAGTCATTGTTATGCAAGTCCAAGTCGAGTCTGAAGTCATCAAATTCATGACTCGAGTCTGACTCGAGTCCAAGTCACATGACTCGAGTCCACACCTCAGAGGTGGGACAAAGTCATTGTTATGCAAGTCCAAGTCGAGTCTGAAGTCATCAAATTCATGACTCGAGTCTGACTCGAGTCCAAGTCACATGACTCGAGTCCACACCTCAGGATGCACGTCAAACAACCACAAGACAACTTAGATTAAGGCCATCAGTCTAACTCTGTACTACAACAAACAAACATGGTTAAACCGAAAAACTTTTCAAAATAAAGCCATGAAAGCAATGAAACGGATGAGCTTGGGGTTCAGGGTCCTAACCTCAGCCCAGGTCTTCGGTCTATCGGCTTGGAGGTGACTGAGCCGGACCCTTGAGAGGTCCGGCTTCTGTACCGGTCCGTGGCTTGCTCCGCCCCGGTCCCCGCCTCCTTTCTAGAACTTTTTGGGAGGTGACGTCACCCCCGGTCCCCGCCTCCCTTCTAGAACTTTCTGGGAGGTGACGTCACCCCCGGTCCCCGCCTCCCTTCTAGAACTTTCTGGGAGGTGACGTCACCCCCGGTCCCCCCCGCCTCCCTTCTAGAACTTTCTGGGAGGTGACGTCACCCCCCGGTCCCCGCCTCCCTTCTAGAACTTTCTGGGAGGTGACGTCACCTCCCCCGGTCCCCGCCTCCCTTCTAGAACTTTCTGGGAGGTGACGTCATCCCCCGGTCCCCGCCTCCTTCTAGAACTTTCTGGGAGGTGACGTCATCCCCCGGTCCCCCGCCTCCTTCTAGAACTTTCTGGGAGGTGACGTCACCCCGTCCCCGCCTCCCTTCTAGAACTTTCTGGGAGGTGAATGTCACCCCCCCGGTCCCCTGCCTCCCTTCTAGAACTTTCTGGGAGGTGACGTCACCCCCCGGTCCCCGCCTCCCTTCTAGAACTTTCTGGGAGGTGACGTCACCCCCGTCCCCCCGCCTCCCTTCCTAGAACTTTCTGGGAGGTGACGTCATCCCCCGGTCCCCCGCCTCCCTTCTAGAACTTTCTGGGAGGTGACGTCACCCCCGGTCCCCGCCTCCCGCCTCCCTTCTAGAACTTTCTGGGAGGTGATGTCAACCCCGGTCCCCTGCCTCCCTTCTAGAACTTTCTGGGAGGTGACGTCACCCCCGGTCCCCGCCTCCCTTCTAGAACTTTTCTGGAGGTGACGTCACCCCCGGTCCCCCGCCTCCCTCTAGAACTTTCTGGGAGGTGACGTCATCCCCCGGTCCCCCGCCTCCCTTCTAGAACTTTCTGGGAGGTGACGTCACCCCGGGTCCCGCCTCCCTTCTAGAACTTTCTGGGAGGTGACGTCACCCCCGGTCCCCGCCTCCCTTCTAGAACTTTCTGGGAGGTGACGTCACCCCCCGGTCCCCGCCTCCCTTCTAGAACTTTCTGGGAGGTGACGTCACCCCCCGGTCCCCCGCCTCCCTTCTAGAACTTTCTGGGAGGTGACGTCATCCCCCGGTCCCCGCCTCCCTTCTAGAACTTTTCTGGGAGGGTGACGTCACCCCCCGGTCCCCGCCTCCCTTCTAGAACTTTCTGGGAGGTGACGTCACCCCCCGGTCCCCGCCTCCCTTCTAGAACTTTCTGGGAGGTGACGTCACCCCCCGGTCCCCCGCCTTCCCTTCTAGAACTTTCTGGGAGGTGACGTCACCCCCGGTCCCCGCCTCCCTTCTAGAACTTTCTGGGAGGTGACGTCACCCCCCGGTCCCCGCCTCCCTTCTAGAACTTTCTGGGAGGTGACGTCACCCCCGGTCCCCGCCTCCCTTCTAGAACTTTCTGGGAGGTGACGTCACCCCGGTCCCCGCCTCCCTTCTAGAACTTTCTGGGAGGTGACGTCACCCCCGGTCCCCATCCTCCCTTCTAGAACTCTTCTGGAGTGACGTCACCTTCCGGTCCCCGCCCTCCTTCGAGAACTTTCTGGGAGGTGATGTCACCCCCGTCCCCTGCCTCCCTTCTAGACTTTCTGGGAGGTGACGTCACCCCCGGTCCCCGCCTCCCTTCTAGAACTTTCTGGGTGACGTCACCCCCCGGTCCCCGCCTCCCTTCTAGAACTTTCTGGGAGTGACTCATCCACCCGTCCCCCCTCCCTTCTAGAACTTTCTGGAGGTGACGTCACCCCCCGGTCCCCGCCCTCCCTTCTAGAACTTTCTGGGAGGTGATGTCACCACCCGGTCCCCCTGCCTCCCTTCTAGAACTTTCTGGGAGGTGACGTCACCCCCGGTCCCCGCCTCCCTTCTAGAACTTTCTGGGAGGTGACGTCACCCCCCGGTCCCCCCGCCTCCCTTCTAGAACTTTCTGGGAGGTGACGTCACCCTCGGGTCCTCGCCTCCCTTCTAGAACTTTCTGGGAGGTGACGTCACCCCCCAGGCTCCGCCTCCCTTCTAGAACTTTCTGGGAGGTGACGTCACCTCCGATCCCCGCCTCCCTTCTAGAACTTTCTGGGAGGTGACGTCACCCCCCCGGTCCCCCGCCTCCCTTCTAGAACTTTCTGGGAGGTGACGTCACCCCCGGGTCCCCGCCTCCCTTCTAGAACTTTCTGGGAGGTGACGTCACCCCCCGGTCCCCCGCCTCCCTTCTAGAACTTTCTGGGAGGTGACGTCACCCCCCGGTCCCCGCCTCCCTTCTAGAACTTTCTGGGAGGTGACGTCACCCCCGGTCCCCGCCTCCCTTCTAGAACTTTCTGGGAGGTGACGTCACCCCCGATCCCCGCCTCCTTTCTAGAACTTTCTGGGAGGTGACGTCACCCCCCGGTCCCCGCCTCCTTTCTAGAACTTTCTGGGAGGTGACGTCACCCCCCGGTCCCCCGCCTCCCTTCTAGAACTTTCTGGGAGGTGACGTCATCCCCCGGTCCCCGCCTCCCTTCTAGAACTTTCTGGGAGGTGACGTCACCCCCCGGTCCCCGCCTCCCGCTTCCCTTCTAGAACTTTCTGGGAGGTGATGTCACCCCCGGTCCCCTGCCTCCCTTCTAGAACTTTCTGGGAGGTGACGTCACCCCCCGGTCCCCCGCCTCCCGCCTCTCTTCTAGAACTTTCTGGGAGGTGACGTCACCCCCCCGGTCCCCCCTCCCTTCTAGAACTTTCTGGTAGGTGACGTCATTCCCCGGTCCCCGC